GATTGAGCATACATGCCCTATCTCCATCTTGCCTTCTCAAATCCTTTTGCTTGCAATTATGTTTCTCCCTGTTCCTCATTTTGCATCTTCATTTCCCACAAACTCTCTGCCTCCGTCTAATCTTGTTTTGCTTCCTTCCCTCCTGTCCTTTCCGTCCCTTCATCCCCATTAAGTGTCATGGGAAGCCAATCCTGCAGGTGTAGGTCAAAGGGCAGTTTTAGGGAAATTAGTCAGAAAACACCAGTGGCACAGCAGAGATGCCAGGAATGGGCAATCAATCTAAAAGAGACCTAGAGGACTTCTTTGGTGGTCCAGTGGTTAAGGCTCCGAACTTCAGATGCAGGGGGTGTGGGTTCCATCCCGGGTCAGGGAATTAAGATCCCACATGCCACATGGTGTGGCCAAAAACTAAAGGGGCTCTAGAAGGAAAATATAGCTAAATAATGACAGGACTAAAGACTAGTAGCACATATCGCCATGTGACTTGTATTTACAGAAACAGATTGTCTTAGCTAGGAGGTTTGGGGACTGAGAGTGAGAATTCAGAGGGGAATTTCATGTTGATTATTCTGTTTTTTTAAATATTTAAATAATATTTAGGACATAATCCTTTCAAAAGATTTGAAACATATATGGAAACGTGAGGAAATTTCATCCTTGTATTTTGAGAATGATCATATTTGCTACAGGTTTGAAACTAAAAAAAAGAAAAAGTTTAAGTTGTAAAAATCTTCACAGAGGTGTCATGCTTTCCCGAGTTACTCAAGAATACATGACCATACAGTTTCTCATCTGTTCCCTCTATATCCTGTGGTATTGATATCTTGTGTGATAGGAGAGAAATGAGCTGCTTTGTTTGGCTTGTAGAAGTCTGATGGGAGAAACAGAGTTATCCTGATCTCTAGGCCTATGTTTTGTAAAAGATTAACCATTCCTGAACTTGAAGAAGTCATATGACCACCTGAGAAGTTACTGGGATATTCTTGCTATAAGCAACGAAAGAGTTATTCCTTATGAGATATGCACCTGAAGGCGTTCCAGGCTTCCTGGGTTTCACTTCCACCCAGAAAAGCAGTGTACAGTGACTTAAGTTGTAATTTGTCAAGGAGACTGACCTGACAGAACCTACCTGTCCATTGCCTATATTGGGTAGGGCTCCTATGGATATTATCCCCTACCAAAAATCCAAAAGCTCAGGGAGATAGAGAAGGTTCTGGACCATTTGTCCCAATTACTGGTCCCAGAGAATTATTCCTTTAGTCCAAAAAGGGAAACGGAGAAATTGACACAAGACCTCATCACACCAGTGACCACCTCCCCTTGATCACCCGCCAGAGGGCACCCTGAACGTCAGGGTTCCTGAGACTGTAGATGATTGGATTCAGCATGGGATTGGCTACAGTGTTAAAAATTCCAACAGCTTTATCCTTGTCTGAAAGCTTGGCTGAACCTAGTCGCATGTAGTTAAAGATACCTGAACCATAGAATATGGCAACCACAGTGAGATGGGAGCCACATGTGGAGAAGGCTTTCTTCCTGCCCTCCACTGAGCGAATTCGTAGAACCGCAACAGCCACATGGATGTAGGAGGTGACAACAAGAGCCAGGGGGGTACCTGCCATCATGAAACCCACGCCAAAGAGCAGCAGCTCGTTGAGCTGGGTGCTGGAGCAGGAGAGCTGGAAGAGCTGCGGGAGGTCACAGTAGAAGTGGTTGATCACATTGGGACCACAGAAGTTGAGTGTGGATATGGCTACAGTGTGGGTCAGTGCATTTGAGAAGGCACAAGCCCAGGACACAGCCACCAGTATCCTCTGGACCGTCTGGCTCATGCGGGTGCTGTAAGTGAGGGGTCGGCAAATGGCCAGGAATCGGTCATAGGCCATGGCGGTCAACAAGAAGCAGTCCACACCAGCCAGCTGATGGAAGAAGAAAAGCTGTGAGAGGCAGGCTGCATAGGGAACTGTGCGCTTGTGGGACAAGAGACGACCCAACATCGAGGGAACGGTGACGGTGATGCACCCAATGTCCAGCACTGACAGGTTCCCCAGGAAGAAGTACATGGGGGTGTGGAGTTTGGGCTCCACCAAGATGGCTGCCAGGATGCTGAGGTTTCCCCCGACTGTGACAAGGTAGGCAAAGAGGAAGAGTGCAAAGACAACTGGTCGCAGCCCTGGCGTCTCCACCAAGCCCAGCAGGATGAACTCAGTAACAGCTGTTCCATTGGCCCCAGGTTGTGTCTGCATTAGTTCCTGCAAGGAAATATCCAAGGAGATAAGGAATAATTCCTCTCAATATATTAAAAAAGAAGAAATAGACTTCTTTCTATGTCCTGAGCCCTCTGCTAAGTTCTCCGTTTCCAAGTAAGGACTTTCCCACCATCCAGTCCACACCACACGTGTTAACTCACTACATTTGCTACAACATTCTCAGCCACATGGGAATCCTTTCACCATGTAAACATATATCAAATGATCATGTTATACTTTGACAGTTTTACTTGTTAATTACACCCGTATAAGGCTAAAAAAGTAACATCTTATAAGCTTGAAAAAACTGAAAAGTCAAGGAATAGACCGAAACTAATATAGAAATTTAGTATATAGTTCAAGCAGCATCTTAAAGGAATGGGAGAAAGTATTATTCAATAAGTGCTTATGAGGGCAATAATACAGCTATGTTGGAAAACTATAAGTCATATATATACCTCATATATTTTGCAAAAATAAATTCTAAATGGATCAAAATTTTAAATGAAGTATTAGGCCACAAAGTTATTGGGGAAATGGAGAATTTAATAGTAGTAGTACAAGGATAACTCAAAATATAGAAAAAACTTTAATAATCAAAAGTAATGTTTTAATTATTTTAAAATTCTGGCCAACTAGATGAATGGAACCACTTCTTCCCAAACCCCATTCTCTGCAGGCTTCCAGATTAGGGTTGGCCACAAGGGGAATTTGCATAATATCTGTAAGGCAGAAGTGAAAAGGAGAAAGGACAATTTGGCAACATCTTTCAAATTATAAATGTCTTTTTCTTTTTACCTGACAATTCCATGTCTGGAAATTTATCCAACAGATGTATGGTCACAGAAATGATGGTCACACAGAAATGATGTCTGTGTGAGCTTATTTGTTGCAGTATTGTTCGTAATGGCAAATAATTAGAGATAATCTATCTGTTCATTATTAAAGGGCTTACTAAGTTAATTATGGAATATTTTTCCAAAGGAATATTATGCAGCTGTAGGAAATAGCTCTATCTCTGCTGATTTGAAAGATATCAAAACAGTATTATTAAATGTAAAATACAGCTTGTATAATACATATACCATATACTATGCTTTGCTTAGTGTATGGCAAAAACCAACACAACATTGTAAAGCGATTATCCTTCAACTAAAAATAAAAACTAAAAAAACCCCACAACTCTGTGACTATGAATTGAATTTATGCTTAAACTGGGTGAAGTGTGTGCTCAGTCACTCAGTTGTGCCCAACTCTTTGCGACCCCATGGACTGTAGCCCACCAGTGTCCTCAGTTCATGGAATTTTCCAGGCAAGAATACTGGAGTAAGTTGCTATTTCCTTCTCCAGGGGATCTTCCTGACCCAGGGATTGAACTGATGGAATTTTCTTGGGAGCATTCCCTGCCAATAATTACAGGGAGACTTACCCTGGGCTACAGCAGTGCATAGTTTTAAGTACTTTGTGGTTAACTCATTTATTCCTCACAACCTCCCTATGAAACAGATACCACTTTAATCTGCATTTTACAGAAAGAACATGAGTCACATATAGCAAGTGGCTGAAGGCAAGGTCTTAACTAGGATATTCTGACTTTTAACCTGTTCTTAACATTTATACACACCATCAGGACACCTCAAGGATCATAAAACCATGTCCTTCTCCTGCAACTCTCTCTCAATGTCTTTCTTTTTTTTTCCCTCTCAATGTATTTCTGACCCATTCTTATGACTCAAAGATGTACTCTCATACTCATGATAGCTGTACCCTTGTAAATCCCAGTCTTGCCTTGTAGGCTGCAATAGCTCAAGTCCAAATCAGTGCCTTGGATGGATCATGGCCATAGTCAGCAGTTGCCCCCTGATTTCCCTTTTTATTTTAACCCATGTCTTAAGATTGCAAACTCTGTGAGTTCCTAGATTCCCACCTTTGCTTATGCTATTTTCTCTGTATTGAATGTCTTTCTTCCAATGTCACATGTTCAAAATCTTCATGATTTAGCTCAAATGCTGTCTTCCTCCAGAAACTCCACCCTAATCTGTGCCCATTTTAAAGTGATATTTTCACCTTCGACATTCCCATGACACTTTAGTTGTATTCTACAGGGCACTAAGCACTATGCCTTCAGCACAGTCATTGATTTCTTGATTATTGATTAGTCATTTAGTGATTTAGTCATTTAGTAATTTAGGGGTGAGATTCATGGCTGACTCAACTTTAGGAACTATATGCCTAAACTCATTGTAATTGTGCATCATCTTGTAAATAAATGAATAGCCGCACTGGTTGACAAAGGTTTTCTGGCAAAAAGGGCCTCATTGTGGGCTAAGGTGGTGAGGAAAGGATTTGTGGACGAGTGGGAATTGTGCTAGACTTTGAAGGATTGACATGAGTTGGAGGAAGTCGAGTCAAGTGAAAGGCACAAGGTGACTGCTGTAGGGATAGGGTTGATTCCTCCATTGTCTCGATAGGCATGCAGTAGTTGTAGCATCCATGCATTGACATATAGCTCTTTGTATGAACTTCCCACATATTTTCTACAATCAGAAGAGGGACTCTTCAGAAACAAGTAAGTCATGAGCCAGATATACTATGCTCACCTAGTAGCTCTGTCCAGCCCTCAATTAACAAGGAATGAAACTTACATACACCTCCTAAATTCTGGTTGTTCATCAGACTAGCCGTCCAGGGCTTCAGGGGCTAATGAAATCACAGGTGTAATCCATTAATGAGGTGACCCTTCTAGATCACCATTCTTGGGGATCCATATGAGTCCTGGGCTTCCTCATTATGCTGTGACCACTCCCTGCTCTGAAATCCCAATAAATTCTTCATGCTGTAGGGTTAGTCTCAGGAATCTGGTCAAGTTGCCCAGTAAGGATTGAGTTCTGGGCAGGGACGGTGAACACTGAATAAAATCAGAAAACAAGCTTTATCTTAAAAAGCAGGAAGAATTGGTAAAAGTGCCTGGAAGTGAAACCTCAAGCTTTGGATCATAGTCCCAGCTTTTCCACTCACCTGATGTGTCATCCTGTGCAAGTCTCTTATTTTTGCTTTTGAGACCTTGGTTGCTGCATCTGTAAAACCAGGAAGCTTGACTTAGTGACCCCTGAAGTCCCTTCTCTGTTACATGGGAGCAGACGGAGGGTTCTGAAGAAGTTACTTTGCTATGGCACAGAGGCCAGCAAGGCTTCATGGAAAGGGTTGTAAAAGGGGGATGAGAATCTGTAAAACTCAGTCTGCTACTCTGGGGGAAAGAAAGGGGCCATATATACAGAAATGAGATAAAGAGAGGCTGAGGCCGTCTCTGTCATGGGACTTCTCCACCATGGTGTTGTCCCCTTGGGACCTTGAAATTAGCCCAGGAAGGAGGAGAGGAGCCCAGGAGGCCATGGGGAGAGCTAAGGACAGGTACACAATACAAGCCCTAATAAATACTGCAGTGGCAAATCAATGGTGCCTCATGACTCTGCTGACTTAGAATTTTTTCAAGCATCTTCATCACCATCCCTCATATTAATTTATGGAGCTGGTTAGGGCAGCTGTCCTAATAACTCTGTTTAACAGATGGGCACGTAGGCAGCAAACGGCTTTCCCAAAGTCATGAGGTAACTAGAGGCAGATCCAGGACAGAATCTGGGGTCTCATGTTGGAGGTTTTGCTTTCCCAGATGTCTGGTCCAAACAGAACCTTGTGGGTATAGACCAGCTGACTCCTGAACCCCGGGATGAGGAAGAAACCCAAGAAAGGAGGCAAAGGCTCCTTTTCCAACTTCAAATTTGTAACAAATCTTCAGAAAGAAAATACATTGCCACCTGGGGCTTGTTAGCAAGGGCCACACACTCTTGGGGATGCTATAATGATCCTGAGGGTGGTAGAAGCTGAGGATTCCCCCTGGGAAGTTGCCCCCCACCATAATTTTCTGGGCCAAGTCTTTAGAAAGTGAGAGTCTACTGTTAGAGATGACAGAGATTGAAATTTGGAGAGGCTGTGCAACGCAACCCCTGGATTCTCATGTCCTCAATTCATTACACCAGGGCCCATATGACAGCACACTGTCTGTAGCAGCCTGCTGGACTTTCTAAAGGAACAGACCTGCTCATCCAGCTATGAGCAACTACTGAACCCCATTGAACCCTAGTTTCCCAATTTGGAAATGGGTAATATTCTCTCTCAAGGTTGCTGGGAGGATTAAATAAAGTAGCACACATAAAGTTCCTATTAGGAGTCCACGGATGATGTTAGTAGCATAATAATAACATTTATTACACTGTGTACATGACACTACACCATGAGCTTTATATACATGGAATCTCAACCAACACTTACAACAATCCTATGAGGTAAAAATTGCAAAATTTTTTGTTCTGGTTCTGTGAAAAGTGTCATTGGTAATTTGATAGGGGTTGCATTGAATCTGTAGACTGCCTTGGGTAGTACAGTCGCTTTTATAATATTGATTCTTCCAATCCAAGAACAGCAAGTGCACCTTATCCCAGTGCCCCAGCTTCTCTCCCACTCTGAGTGTCAGCCCACCAGACCTGGCGCCAAGAGGGATCCCCTCAGCTACAGCTCCCCCCATGGGCAAAATGGAACAGGAGGGTACCTGCAGCCTTTGCACCTAGGACCACAAGAGGCTACTATGATCACCTACAGGGATCCCACCATTTTGGCTACCAAAGACCCCCATGGTTTTTGCCAACATTGACTTCAGTGGGAAAAGCTATACCAGCTAACATGCTTCTGCACAGCAAAAGAAGTAATCAATCAATTGAAAAGGCAACCTACAGAATGGGAGAAAATACTTGCAAACCCATATTTGGTGACTTCCCAGATGGCTCAGTTGGTAAAGAATCCGTCTGCAATGCGGGAGACACAGGATGAGGGCTCACTTCTTGGGTCAGGAAGATCCCCTGGAGATGGAAATGGCAACCCACTCCAGTATTATTGCCTGGAGAATTCCACGGACAGAGGAGCTTGGTGGCTATAGTCCATGGGGTCACAAAGAGTCAGACACGACTGAGCAACTAAGCACATGTATCTGATAAAAGGTTGATACCCCAAATCTATAAAGATCACATACAACACAATACCAAATAAAACCAAAAAGTCTTAATTTTAAAAGTGGGTAACAGACCTGAATAGAAACATTTTTCCAGAGAAGACATCCAAATGATCAACAAGTACATGAAAAGGTGTTCAACATCACTAGTCATCAGGGAACTGCAAGTCAAAACCACAGTGGTATCACCTCATACCTGTTAGTATGACTGCTGTCAAAAAGACAAGAAATAACAAATGTTGGTGAGGATGTGGAGAGAAGGGAGCCCTCACACACTGTTGGTGAGAATATAAATTGGTATAGCTATATGGAAAACAGTATGGAGTTTCCTCAAAAAATTAAAAATAGAACTGCCATATGGTCTAGATCTTCTGTCTATGGGATTCTCCTGGCAAGAATACTGGAGTGGGTTGCCATTTCCTTCTTCAGGGGATCTTCCCCAGCCAGGAATAGAACCTGAGTCCCTTATGTCTCCTGCATTGGCAGGCAGGTTCTTTACCACTAGCGCCACCTGGGAAACCCAGTTATATACCCGAAGGAAATGAAATCATTAGTAAAGAGATATCTATGCTCCCATGTTCACTGCAGCATTATTCATAATAGTCAAGATATGGAAACAACCTAAATGTTCTTCAGCAGATAATTGGATAAAGAAAATGTACACAGAGGAGTATCATTCCACCGTGGAAAAGAAGGAATGCTTGTCACTTGTAACAAAATGGGTGGAATTTGAGGCCAAGCTCGTCTGTCCATGGACTTCTCCAGGCAAGAATACAGGAGTGGGTTGCCATTCCCTTCTCCAGGGAATCTTACCAACCCAGGGATCAAACCTGCATCTCCTGCATTGGCAGGCAGATTCTTTACCACTAACACTACCTGGGAAGCCCTAATTAATCTCATTTAACCTTAATAACTTTCTAAAGACCTTATCACCAGATACAGTCACATTGGGAGTTTTAGGCCTTCAACAGATGAATGTTGGTGAGACATAATTCAGTCCACATCATGTATATTAATCATTTGAAAATATACTCAATTTAATGTGAACATCAAAGATAAAAATATTGAAACACTCATTGGTAATTTTCAACCTCTGTATTGTGAAAAATTAGAAGCATTTATTTATAGCAGTTGACAAAGTTATAAGGATGAAGTGATTTCACTCATTATTGGAATAACAGAATAGTGCAAATATTTTGTAGAATAAGAGCGAAATACATATCAAAAATCTAAATTTTTATTTTACTCAACTCAGGAATTTTATTAATTAGAACTTATGGAAATGTTTGCAGGATAATAGAAACTCATCTCTAAAGAATTGTTTTTATATCATTGGTTTTAATTGCAGTACATCTAGAAACAATCTAAATTCCATCAAAAGGAATATGGTTAAGCAAATTATGATTAGCTCATAAATTAACACTAGGCAGTCATTAAAATGGGTTAAGTTTTCAGATATATAGCATGTAGAAAACTCTACCGTGTAATGTGTGAACATAAAACATGACATATATGCCTCTATTGATATGAATATACATAAATATGTTTATGTTGATATAAAAATACATAATTATATTTATGAATGTATAAAAAAAACTAAAAGGGTAAGTACCAAATTCTTAACAGTAGTTTCTTCTGGAAAATTGCATTATGAAGAGTGAGGGCAGAGAGGATGAAGTTTTGATTTTACACTTGTAAGATTTTGTTTTTGTTTATATAAACATGATTTCTAAGAAAAATTTTAAATCAATGGATATTTCTATTTTAGAAAAATAGAAAGAAATGCCAAAGGAAATATAAATTCTCCACTGTTAAAAACCCTAGAATCTTGAAGTATATGCAGGTACTGGAAATCAGGGTCTCAAATTATACTGTACTGGGTCTAGATCCTTGTGTAGGATCCTTGTGTAAAAGCAGGTTGGGTGCTGCTTTCAGAGCAAGCCTGACAGGATGATGTGCTAATACTTGGCACCAGGCTGTGACTTTCCATATTCCAATCTAGATAGAATCTCTGCTGCTGTGTACTTTGGGGAACCCCAGCAGGAAAAAACTAAAGGTTCTTCCTATAGAGTCATGAGCCTGCCAGAATATAGAACTACCTGGGTTCCATCTCCATCTGGAGTGTGAGGGGTAGCTAGGACCAAATGGCAACTAGTCAAGGGTTCTGGTCTACAGAACCTACACATCTATTATCAGCTCGAACCTCCTTGAGGAACAAGAAGCCTCACTTCCTAACAAAAGTCAGCTTGCTCAAGATCTAGGAAGGACAGGGACACTTGCTATGGTTTCACCCTCTTGAGACATCCCTCATGCAAAGGCTCGCTTCCCCATGAGCACCCTCCTTAGGGCGCCCTGCACATCGGGGTTCCGGAGGCTGTAGATGAGTGGGTTCAGCATGGGATTGATGACGGTGTTGAGGATGCCAATCCCCTTGTCCTTGTCCGAAGCCTCCACTGAGCCCAGCCACATGTAGCTGAAGACACCTGTGCCATAGAAGATGCCCACCACGGTGAGGTGGGAGCCACACGTGGAGAAGGCTTTGTTCCTGCCCTCAGATGAGTGGATCCGCAGGACTGCAGCTGCCACATGGATGTAGGAGGTGACAATGAGAATCACAGGTGCACCTGCCATGAGGACACCCAGACCAAAGAGCAGCAGCTCGTTGAGCTGGGTGCTGGAGCAGGAGAGCTGGAAGAGCTGCGGGAGGTCACAGTAGAAGTGGTTGATCACATTGGGACCACAGAAGTTGAGTGTGGATATGGCTACAGTGTGGGTCAGTGCATTTGAGAAGGCACAAGCCCAGGACACAGCCACCAGTATCCTCTGGACCGTCTGGCTCATGCGGGTGCTGTAAGTGAGGGGTCGGCAGATGGCCAAGAATCGGTCATAGGCCATGGCGGTCAACAAGAAGCAGTCCACCCCAACCAGAAGGTGGAAGAAGAAAAGCTGTGAGAGGCAGGCTGCATAGGGAACTGTGCGCTTGTGGGACAAGAGACGACCCAACATCGAGGGAACGGTGACGGTGATGCACCCAATGTCCAGCACTGACAGGTTCCCCAGGAAGAAGTACATGGGGGTGTGGAGTTTGGGCTCCACCAAGATGGCTGCCAGGATGCTGAGGTTGCCCCCGACTGTGACAAGGTAGGCAAAGAGGAAGAGTGCAAAGACAACTGGTCGTAGCCCTGGCGTCTCCACCAAACCCAGCAGGATGAACTCAGTAACAGCTGTTCCATTGGCCCCAGATTCTGGCTCCATGGGTCCCTATAAGAAGATATCCCATAGGGGAAGGGATCAGTCTTTCCAAGTTAGCTGATCAGTAGAAATATACTGACTCGCTTTCAGATGTCAAGCCTCAGGGTAAATTCCCGTGTCCTAGTGGGTATTTTCTCTTTCAGGCCACACTTCACTCATTAACCTTCTCTGTCTTCATCTCATAGTCCTTACCCAGCATCCAGGTGAGTTACCTGCTGCCACAACTGCATTGGACTTCCCCACTTCCTCATGAAAGATAAAAATCCCTTTCGCCCTTTGATCTATAGAACCAAGGAAGGAGGCCCTCCCACTACCAACAACCCATAGGATAAGATTTGGGGAAAACATAATGCTGATGTAAAATTGAACAGATGGTAAAATAGAAAGGAACAGAACTGATAATGTTGTTGTTTAGTTGCTAAGTCACATCCGACTCTTTGCAACCGCATGGACTGTGGCCTGCCAGCCTTCTCTGTCTATGGGATTTCCCAGGCAAGAATACTGGAATGTTGACATTTCCTTCTCTAGAGGATCTTCCCAACCCAGGGACTGAACCCTCGTCTCCTGCACTGGTACGCAGAATCTTTACCACTGAATCACCAGGGAAGCCAGAATTGACCATATTTATAAGGACTTTATAATTCATAATTGTCCTTATAAATATATTACAAAGAAATAAATATCTGGACAACATCTAAGCAAGAAAAATATAAAGGGACACAAAATTAGGAATTGAAAGGGCCACAAATAAATAAAAGAGTAATGGAACACTATTTGTTCCTGAGTTTGAACAATCAATTCAAGAGTAGTCCCTAAATCAAATAAACCAACTGAAAAATGGAAAAAGTGATTGATAATGTACTTCCATTTTAGGTTCCAGGTTCATATGCTTCTTTGGTCAATTATTTTTTTATATAATTATAATGTAATATAAACTTTTCTTAACTTACAAAATATGAAAGCCTTCCAATATATATTTTTAAAGTTAGCAAATCTTGGTATTAAAATGTAAGAATGGCAGCAAAAAAGGAATTATTCTACACTACCCTAATTTGATACTATGTATGTAAAAATCTTAAGTACAATACACAAATCCACTATTATCTAGTAGATTTTATAGGAGAGGATGGTTTAATATTGGTAAATCTATTAATATATTGTAGCATATTCGTTGGCTTAAAAAGAGAAAATTTTTTTTTCCATTTATTTTTATTAGTTGGAGGCTAATTACTTTACATCATTACAGTAGTTTTTGTTATACANCCCAGTTTTATTCTGTTGACCACCCAACACCACATGACTCAGAGGAGGTAGATATTCCCAGCTCCAAAGACGACCAGGATTCCTCTATACCAATGTAATTGGTACATAAGGTATGTAAGATGTAATTCTGCATTTCTGGCCTGTGGCCCAGCCAAGAAATGAGAGGCCTTCTGCTAAGAAGCAACTGGGAAAGGGTTACTTCCTCCTGAAAAAGGAAAAGTAAAAAAGTAAGGGTGTCACAGGTCTCTCTGAATACTAGGGACTTGGGCCATTGGCAGCTGCCTCGCTGTCAGTCTGAACAGGGAACCTGTACTTGGCAGAATGAAATCAAAATCGGAGAGCTTCGGGGGCACTGACACATCACCAGGGGTACAGCCTACCTCAGAAATGCTTTATCTGAAATAATAAACATTGTTGTATAAGCCAGTTGGAGACAGTTCGAGGCAGGCTTTTCTGTGACCTGCAGCCAAAAGCATCCTGACTGATACCTGAGAGATCCTAGACTACATAAGTCCTTGTGGTTCTAAAATTTTGTGTTTTTGATGAATTGAGAGAGTAGCACTGAAACATATACCTATATGTAAAGTAGATAGCTAGTGGGAAGTTGTTGTATGACATAGGAGCTCAACCCAGTGCTCTGTGACAACCTAGAGGAGTGTGATGGGGTAAGGGTGACAGGGAAGTTCAACAGGGAAGGGGATATATGTATACTTATGGCGGATTCGCACTGTCATATGGCAGAATCCAACACAGCATTGTAAAGCAATTTTCCTCCAATTAAAAATTTTAAAAATCGAAAATAAACTTTTATGTTCTTGAATGTTTGAAAAAAAAAGAACAATAGCATTGCCTAAATAGAAGAAAGAAAAAACTTGGAAACTTGTGGAATTATTAAGATATTAGCAACTTAAATAAAAAACAATTATACCCAAGCCAGTAGATTCCTTACATGCCAACAAAAGTCAGTGTTAGCTGCTCAGTCGTGTCTGACTCTTTGTGACCCCTTGGGCTGCAGCCTGCCAGGCTCCTCTGTCCATGGAATTCTCCTGGCAAGAATACTGGGTTGGGTTGCCATTCCCTTCTCCAGGGCATCTTCCCCACCCAGGGATCGAACCTGGGTCTCCTGCACTGCAGGCAGATTCTTTACCATCTGAGCCACCAGGGAAGCCCATGTGCCAACAATGGTCAGCTATAAAGCTCAGAAGTTCAAGTGTAGGGTGAGATCTTACAAAGTGAATCAAATTACTTTCATAATAATATATCTCTCAATGTTCTATTTTCTCTAAACTCCAGAGATCTTTAAAGGCCAGCAGTAGTAGCTCAGTAGTTCCTCCCATCATATTTCCACCAGGTTCAAGGTGCTCAAGTCCCTTATATAAAATGGCTTTGCACAGTCAGCCCTCTATATCCATGGGTTTGGCATCCATGGACACTGAAAGTCAACTGTTTACAACTTTTTAAACTGTACCAAGGTAATCATCTTACCAGGAGCAAATTTTTAGTTGAAAGGGCCAGCTTCTCTTTGTCAAAGGAAAATATATAGCTATAATGTAACAGAAGCAGAAGATATTAAGAAGAGGTGGCAAGAATACACAGAAGAACTATACAAAAAATATCTTCATGACCCAGATAACCATGATGGTGTGATCACTCACCTAGAGCCAGACATCCTGGAATGCGACATCAAGTGGGCCTTAGAAGTATCATTGCAAACAAAGCTAGTGGAGATGATGGAATTCCAGTTGAGCTATTTCAGATCCTGAGAGATGATGCTGTGAAAGTGCTACGCTCAATATGCCAGAAAATTTGGAAAACTCAGAAGTGGCCACAGGACTGGAAAAGGTCAGTTTTCATTCCAATCCCAAAGTAAGGCAATGCCAAAAATATTCATACTACCACACAATTATAGTCATCTCACATGCTAGCAAAGTAATGCTCAAAATTCTCCAAGCCAGGCTTCAATAGTTCATGAACCATGAACTTCCAGATGTTCAAGCTGGATATAGAAAAGGCAGAGGAACCAGAGATCAAATTGCCAACATCTGCTGGATCATCAAAAAAGCAAGAGAGTTCCAGAAAAACATTTACTTCTGCTTTATTGACTATGGCAAAGCCTTTGACTGTGTGAATCACAACAAACTGTGGAAAACTCTTCAAGAGATGGGGATACCAGACCTATCTGATCTGCCTTCTGAGAAATCTGTATGCAGGTCAAGAAGCAACAGTTAGAACTGGACATGGAACAACAGGTTGGTTCCAAATAGGAAAAGGAGTACGTCAAGGCTGTATATTGTCACCCTGCTTATTTAACTTATATGCAGAGTACATCATGAGAAANGTATGTTTCTTTGGTGAGGTCATTTTTAAAATCAGTTACTTATTATTGTTTTAAGAGTTTTGAGTTTTATTGTTTTGAGTTTTAAGAGCTCTTTGTATATTTTGGATGAGTTCCTTACCACAAGTGTGTTTTGGAATACTGTTTCCCACTCTGAATTGTCCTCTCCTTCTGTTGACATTGAATCTATAGATCAAGTTGGAAGAACTGACATTTTGATAATACTGAGTCTTCATATCAATGAACACAAAATATTTCTCCATTTATTTAGTTCGCCTTTGATATCTTTCATCAGTTTTATAGTTTTCTTCATATTTTGTTAGCTTTATACCTAAATATTCAATTTGGCAGAATGCTAATTTAAATAATATGTCCTTAATTTGGGCTTCCCTGGTAGCTCAGTGGTAAAGAATCGGCCTGCCAATCTGGGAGATGCAGGTTTGATCCCTGGGTTGGGAAGATCCCCTGGAGAAGGAAATGGCAACCCACTCCAGTATTCTTGCCTGGAAAATTCCATGGACAGATGAGCCTGGCGGGCTACAGTCCATGAGATCGCAAAAGAGTTGGACATGACTTAACGACTGAGCATACACGTTGAAAGCACTTATCTCTGTTAATCTCCTGCATGGTCATTTCTCTACAGAGCATTCCACTGTTCTATTCACTATAAATGGCTTCAGGACAGATTTATGCCTGACTCAGCTTTGCATTCTCAGTGCCTATCATCACACTTGCATACAGTAGGTGCTTAATATTTCTGAAATAAGTAAATAAATGAATTTGGCAACCAACACCAAGGAGTTGGGAAAGGATTTCTGAATGAGCTGGAATTATTGCAAGACAATGAAAGGTTGATATGATTTAAAGGAGATATGGGTTTCAGTGAAAGGCAGAGCAGTATTGCTGTGGGAATCGCCAATTCTTTAGCTAGATTAGACATCAGGAACCATCAAGCAATAGTTAAAACAATCCTGGTCACTGTATATGTCTTTTCTTGAAATAGCCCCCAAATCAGGAGGGACAGACCCTGTGAATAAATAAGCCTAGGCAAGAAGAGTGCTTCCCAGGTGGCGCTACTGGTAAAGAACCTGCCTGCCAATGCAGGAGGTGTAAGATATGCAGGTTCGATCCCTGGGTTGAGAAGATCCCCTGGAGGAGGAGTAGAGTATACCTCACAGAGATGCCATGGAATCCTCACTCGAAGTGGTGAAGCTTAGTTTCTGCTACCAAGATTCTAGGATGATCACTGGCTGTTCATCTAAGAATTCCATCTTAAACAAGATCACCATGATGACCTTAACTGAAGAGGTTCTCCTAGATTATGACTCTCAGGTGTCCAGAGTGAGCCCCAGGCTGTCCATACTGAGTGTTTACGGCTCCCTGCTATGACGTTCCAACTAAACCC